ATATTGCTAAAATCAATTCTGAGTTGAGTTTTTGATCTTCTCTTTATATCTTTGCATGAAGGACCCCCAGGATCACCCGACGCCCGGAGATCCGTGTGGTCGGGTATTTTACCTCCGGAATATTTTGATCCTGGAGGCGCCATCATGCTATCTGTTACTCATTGTTGGAACCGGACTGCCAGCGCAGTAGCGGAACGTGGTGATACCACTTAGCGCTACTCAATTCTGGCATGGTGGTATCTCACCGGTCGACGCCCAATGAGTAAAAAGCGTCTACCACCTACTAAGCGTCTACCACCTACTTGTTGCTTGTCGATGAACCTACCCGTATCTCAGAAAGGGGCGAATTTGCAGCGCTTTTAGACTTGTTCCTAACCACAAATCCTGACTCGTACACAATTCAAGTAGATGCTCCACTTGGTTCGTCCGATCATAAACTTATAATAACAAAGTGCGAAATGCTCATCCCACCAAGCCAACAACCACTTCCTCGTAAAATGTGGCACTATAAATCGGCAAAATGGAATGACCTAAAACAGTTTTACCTGGATTTTCCATGGCAAGAGGTTTGCTTTAAAACAGCTGATCCCACTATTTGCTGTAATGAAATAACACAAGTAATCTTATCTGGAATGGATGCATATATCCCACATACAACTAAACGTAGAGCTAATGCAAAACCTTGGTTCAACAGCCAGTGTCAAACGGCTATACAGAAAAAACACAGAGCATATAACCTTTGGAAACGACAACAAACCGCTCAAAACCACACAGAATTTATAGAAGCCAGAAATAGTTGCAAAATTACTATTGACTCCGCTAAAGAAACATACAATCAAAGAATAAAAAACAGGTTGCTGAATTGTCCAAGTAGTTCTAGGTCCTTTTGGTCTCTTGCAAAAGCTGTTGGATCTAACTTCACCAAGTCATCCATACCACCACTTACAGATAAAAATAATCACTTAGCCACAACATCAGAGGAAAAAGCCAATATGCTGGCCCAAATGTTTTCCTCCAACTCCAACCTGACAGTGCCAAACGGAAAAACTCCACCGTTCATTGAAAGGGTTTCCCATAGTATGCCAGAGGTACCCTTTTGTCACAGAGAAATACGAAAATCCCTTAAAAAGCTAGATACAAACAAAGCAATGGGTCCGGATGGCATTCCCGCAATAGTACTCAAAAATTGCGGCAACGAACTCACCCCAACTTTCGCAAAATTATTCAATTTGTCTTACAGGCAAGGAGTATATCCATCATCATAGAAGTCTGCCGCAGTACAACCCATTCCAAAGAAAGGAAAAAAGACAGATCCGTTAAACTATAGACCAATTGCTCTACTTCCGGTGATATCAAAAGTAATGGAAAGAGTTGTGAACAATCACCTAACCAAGTACTTGGAAAAGTACAAAATTATCAACGATAAGCAATACGGATTTCGAAAATATAGGTCAACTGGCGATTTACTTACATACGTCACTCACTTATTGCAAAAAGCGATTGAGTTGCGGGGTGAAACAAGAACAATTGCCTTAGATATATCTAAAGCATTCGACAAAGTTTGGCATGAAAATCTGCACAACAAGCTCAAAGCAATGGGATTATCGCCGAAACTTTGCACTTGGTTTGAAAGTTACCTAAAGGACAGATCCATTTATGTTGCACTGGATGGCCAGAACTCCAACTCTTACCAAATAAATGCTGGTGTGCCACAGGGAGCAATCCTTTCGCCAACTCTTTTTCTGATTTACATAAATGACCTCATAGATAAAACAGTAAATCCACTTTATTGCTTTGCAGACGATGGCAATGTAGTCTCCTCACTCATACCACCCACAGGTCTTTCCGCACGTGAATTTCATCATCTTAGACTAACTCAAATATCGCAGATAAATAGCGACCTGGAGATAATAGAGGACTGGGGTAACAAAAACCTTGTACAGTTCAACGCACAGAAAACCCAAGCAGCTCTGTTTTCAAAAAAGAACAGCACCGGTGAGCCAAACATCATGTTATCTGGAAGTGCTGTCACATTACAGAGTCAGTTGAACATCTTGGGGGTTACTGCAGAGGCCAACATGTCTTGGCACAATCACGTGGCAGATATTGCTAAAAGGGCGTCCCAAAAGCTGGGGATGCTATTTCGTACAAGACATCTGTACACACCAAGCCAATTGCTGACACTCTACAAAGCCCAGATTCGACCAACTATGGAGTACTGCTCACATATATGGAGTGCAGCACCCAAACATAACTTAATGCTTTTGAACACCGTGCAAAAACGAGCTATCAAGCTGATCAATGACCCTGTACTTACTCGTAACTTGGATGGTCTCGAACATCGCAGATCTGTGGGCGATTTATCTCTCTTCTACAGGTACTATCACGGAAAATGCTCTGAAGAGTTGGCACGTATGATTCCACCGAGAGTAGCGCCTACCAGGCGAACCCGTCAAACAGACAGTAACCATGAATTTACTGTCAAACTAGAGGCACCAAGAACCTCATTATATCAGAATTCATATCTCTGGAGAACAGCATCGCTGTGGAATAAACTCCCTGCGACGGTTTTCCCTGCAGGTTACAACCTGAACCGTTTCAAGACCAACATACACCGACATTTCCGCGCACTTGCCGCTTCTCGAGCGTGATAGGACATTTCCTTGCGAGTGCGCATATCCGTAAAAAAAAAAAAATCGATAAACAAGTGAAAAAATGGCAGCCGGAAAGTAATTTCGTGGGCACCCGGTATAACTTTTGTCAATTCTGTCATCATTATAAATAAAAAAAAATTTCTCTCTCAAATACATTGCTTTAAATGGACTCCTATTCTATTCCCACAATTTCATTTCAAGATGTCTGTTAGACTCAAAATATAGTTGGGAAACTTTTTCTACTGCAAAAGTAGAACCGGTACTTCGAAAAAAATGCAGGGGCCCTTGAAATATTCAATTCTTATTAATTTCAAATCAGTTTTCTCACAAAATATACATATATAAATATAATTAAAATGAGATTTGAGAAGAAATTAATATCATTTCCGTTTTGCATATGCCAGTATTAAACAATTATTGTATATTTTGCATCAAAATCAGCTAAACCTAGTGTTTTTGCAACGCCTCTTTTTCATTATTTTGATTTTGGGTGAAAAAATATGGCGGATCACTTTAGTAACAATATAAACTCTGGAAACTATAATATCACCTAAGGTAATATTTTATAACTATTAGTAACATTATATAACTTTTTACCAGATGCCGTCAGCGCCGCTATCCGCAATTTTGGTCTCAAAATAGTGCTATTGCTATAATCATCATGTTTATAAATTCCCTCAAGTAATTTATTTTCTTGTCCAGAAACTTGTGTATAGTGTCCACGTGGAAGATACTGAGGGCACTGAATTTGAGATTTTATCAAAGTTTTTTGAAATTTTTCGGCGAAATAAACAGACACCTGATTATTCTCAGATGTCAAATTAGGTAGTTTGGTTTTACTTAAGGTTTTATAATAGTATATTATGCAATGATCATGTAATGATAGCCATTAATACACGAGCATGTTGTAGGATACGAAACGAGCCGCAGGCGAGTTTCGTATATAACATGCGAGTGTATTAATGGCCATTACATGAGAGTTGCATACACTATTTTTTCTACTGCCATTGATAAAACTTATGATTTTTAGATAAGTCAACATTATGCTTAACTTTGAATAGAGATTTTATGATTGACTAATGCGTCCATACAGTTGGTCTCATTTTTTGTTGTAATTCTTCAAAATATACTATCAAAAACATTTTCTGAGAAGCACGATGTGTTTTTGGTGACCTCTAATCCATAAATTGTCCATATAATTTTTCGTAAATTTTCTTAGACTTGTCCGGTAGTATATTATTACCTGCATTTGTCGCCCTTTATGTAATTTCTTGAGGTGATAGTGAAAATTCTTCGTTTTCACTCAATATTTCCATAATAATGCCTCATCCCAAACTTTAGGTAACTTTTAATAACAATTTGAAGTTTTTTTTTTTTTTTTAATTATTGTTTTTCGCTAAATTACCATGGAAAACTATAAACAGAGTGCTGTCAACATTAAAAAAAAATCAAAATTTCTTAGCGGGTGGCGCCATCTATTGACAATGTATGATAATGAAAAAAGTAAAAATTCTTCCTTATCACTCATTATTTCCATAATAATTATTCTTTGTCCCAAACTTTAGATAACTTTTAAACAATTAGCAGTGTTTTTTTATAGTCATCAAAATAATTTTTTTACGCAAAACTACCGTTTAAAATGTTTAATATCTTAACTGGTGGTGCCATCTATCGACATTGTATAATATTAAAAATCAGTATTATAATGAAAATCTGTATCATAATGAAGTTCATTATGATACAGATTTTAATCTTTTAATAGCGTATTATGAAATGTCAGTAGAAAAAAGAAATTATCGTTACCAAAAGTTTTATAACATATACTGCAAACACTGATTGACAACACTTCTATATAACTAGGGGTATTCTAGTTATATAAATGAGGCTACGGTAACCTTTATAAAAATTGCTTATAAATACTTTAGTAACGGGTACTAAAAGTTTTAAAAAATGTTGATGGAAATAGTTACATCACCTTATTATATACCTGGAAGTTATAGTAAACTTATAAATACTTTATGAAACTTTTATAATCTGCAACCTATGGTAACAGTTGCAGATTATAAAACTTGGAAACCTTCTTATATACCTTTGTTACTATTATATACCCATTATATAACTTGGCGTTACTATAAGTTGCGAAAAATGTTTATTGGGACACCCCCCTCTACCTCAGCAACCAGGGTCAAATCGGATCGGCAACCTGCGACGCACGTCACCCGCAAGGATGAAAGTCTGCTAGTCCTAAATGTCGACCAGGGGCTGGCCAGGGTAACCTCCTACCAATCCCTCAACTCGGTTCCAAACGCAGAGGAACGAGAGGGCACCCGCAACCGACCCCGTCGGATGAGGGGTCACAGGCAAGGTGGAGGGGCACAACCGGATGGATTGCCCGATGACGACCGCAACGAACAAGGACGCGGAGGGATGATCTGCTGGAATGCTATGAGAGCAGTAACCCAGCTCGAAAGAGATATATGGGTCGTATACGTAAGCTGTGGCATGGTATGCATCCTGAGCATCACACATTCACTGCTCAGGGTCTGCGAGACTATGTATCTTACCTTCGGCGAAGGGGATATGTTAGAGGACCTCAACAGCCAGCAGTACGTGAGGAACAGGAACCGCAGAAACATATGGATGAAGAGGCGCCTCCCGTAGCATCAGAAGAGAGACTCCGGGAACGTAGGGCGCTGCACAAGACTAAGCGCCCCAAAGCCCAAGACCTAGCTAGAGCGAACGAAGAGCTGTTAAATGCTCTAACAGAAGAAGCTGACATCTGGCGCATTAATTGTGCCATCTACGAGGCAGCTTGCTCCTTGTCGCCCAGTGTCCCCAACACGGATCCCTGCGTTGACGGGGACAACGGCGAGTGAATAAGATGGAAGCAAAAATCCTCTCAGCAAGGCAGCACGCATCTCATATACAGTGTGTGGTGGAATATAAATTGGCAGGCAGGCCTTTTACGCCAAAAGTGCGCCGCATAGCCGCCAACCTGCGACGCACCCACCACACACTGAACAAGCACTGTTGCAGACCATCAAGCAGCAATGCTGCGAAAGTATACGGATGTTAGTGACAAAATCCAATTCGGCGGGCGAAGAGGCTTTCGGAAAACAAATTGTTTTTTGAAAACCCCAGTCGCCTATTTCAAGCGCCGCCGAGGATTATTGACAATCCTTCATCCGCTGTGAGGGTGGAAACCTTCTGGAGGAGTGTGTACGAGGTAACTGTCTGCTCTACGCAGAAACACCAGCCCTGACACAGTTCGAAACCTTCGTGAGGGGGTTTCCACAACCTGAGCAACTGTGCCCACCAATAACTGTGGAGGAAGTTCGAGGTGCTCTTATGGGCGCTAAGAACTTTACTGCTCCTAGGCCTGATGTAATTACCATCTATTGGTGGAAAAAATTTCCATCAACCCATGAGGCCCTAGCCCGAATTTTTAACTCCTGGGTGGATGAGGCACAGCCAATTCCTTCCTGGTTTATTGAGTGGCGAACCGTCCTACTCCCCAAGAATGGAGACTTTTCCGACCCAAAGAACTATCGCCCGATAACATGTTCAAGCGCTTGTTATAAGATTTTTACGCGACTCTTGTACGAGCGGATACTCCAAGACATGGGTCCAGTGTTTAATGGAGCATACGAACATCAAGGGTCAAAGAAGGGTGTAGAAGGGTTCAAGGAGAACTTACTAATAGACCGATGTGTCATACAGGACTCCTTCCAGTACAAGCGAAACCTTTTGATGACCTGGATAGATTACCGCAAGGCCTTTGATACAACTTCTCATGAGCCTTGCGGTGCCAGATCCCGTAGCGAGATGCATTTCAGGAATGATGCCACTTTAGAAGACGCGATTTACAATAGGTACCGGTACCACAAAGGTGTCGACTAAATTGGTATCATTCCGCCGGGGAGTGTTTCAGGGAGATTCCCTTAGCCCACTCCTCTTTTGTGTCTCGCTACTTCCGCTGTCCGTTGCTTTGCGGAACACAAATGGATACATATATGTGCGGTGCTTCCGGCCGTAGAAGGCATAGGGTTACCTCACCTCTCCTATATGGATGACCTCAAGTTCTACGCGTCGGCGAAGAGAGATCTCGAGCAAGCTCTTCGGGTAGTTCAGGAGTATACTCATGCGATCAGGATGGAGTTCGGGTTGGATAAGTGTGCGACGGTTGAACTTAAGAAAGGGCGCCATGCGGATCACGCCAAGGACGCGCAACTCGTAGGTGGGAGCATCCTACGACATTTGGATGCCGGACCTATACCTACCTGGGTGTTTCTCAGGGACACATTCAGGATAGTGTCGCAGTAAAAGCGTCTCTCCGCAACAAGTATCAGCAGCGATTGAGGCAGATCTGGAATTCAGAGCTACCTGGAAAGAACAAAGTCGCTGCTACAAATATGCTTGTCGTCCCACTACTCCCTTACTCCTTTGGAGTGATAAAGTGGAATGTGAATGAGTTGCTTGAAATTGACATGAAGATGATGACGCGATGCCGAAGTCGTAATCCTAAGGCGTCTGACCAACGGATCAAGGAGGCCGTGGACTTGGAGTGTCTACATAGACGGTTGGTCCTAAGTGCCGCGTGCGGAGTAATCAGCGACGATGATCCCCTGCTATGCATGGTGCGTAACCATGAAACAGTTGGTGTGGGGCATTTCTTTTTAAGGCTGCACAAAGGGCAGCGGATGAGCTCCAAATAGTTTTAGACAAGAGTCGGCGGCAGGAAAACTCTATTACAGAGTTTGCCAGCCAAATACTTAAAACCACCTTAAAGAATGCAGTGGTAGACTATTTAAAACGTCTACATATGGATAAGCCATTGCACAGTGTTTTCTTTAAAACCATTGAAAACACTGGCTTATCCAAAAACCTAAGCTTTGCATTCTTGAGGTCTGGTGCATTTATGTCAGAAACTGCGGGGTTTATCATTGCTTGCCAAGATGGAGTCATCAACACTTTGGAACACCGGCGTCGCGTGACGGGTATACAGGTTCCTACAAGTTGTAGGGCCTGCCATAGAGCGCCGGAGACCTTATATCATTTGCTGTCTGCTTGCGGACGGTATGCGGTCTCGGCGTATATCCATCGACATAACGCGGCGTTACGGGTGCTGTATTACCACCTAAAGCACTCGTACGGTGTTGATGACACTCCAGTGCTGCCATATGTCCCCTCTGATGTTCCGTTCGTAGTGGAGAATGACAGAGCCAGAATATACTGGAATTTCGCATTCCCCACCCTCCTTGACAAAAATGACAAAATTATGTATGTCATTGAGTTCGAGACGAACATCATTGCCAAGGAGGAAGAGAAACGGACGAAATATCAGGAACTTCTCTTTGACCTTCGTCGAATGTACCGGGGCTATAATGTCAAGCTAGTGGTTTTGGTGATTGGGGCTCTCGGAGGAGCACGACAAACATTGCTCTCAGATCTCAAGACCTTGCCAGTCTATCGTGATAAAGCGTAACACCTTGCTGGCACGATGCAGAAACCAATCATCCTGGGATCATTGCGTCTACTCAGAGCACACGATGCGGAACACCATTTCTACTAACCTTACGGTTAGTGGGGAGTAGAACGGTGGACGGAACACCAGGCCTGCTTGCACCAGTGTAAGTTAGAGCCGCGGGACCGTGAGTAGGGCCAACTCAAAAAAAATAAAAATAATAGATTGAGTGAATCCGCTGTGTGCATCAGTTCACCTAGATTTGACGAATCTTTCAGATGCCTCCTGAAGCTGAAAGCATTCGGGGCCGCCCTAATAATCTTTGGAATCAGGTTCAAAACTTTTGCGGCACTGTAACTGAAGGATCTTTCAAATAGTGCAGTCTTATGTTTAGGTACCCTCAATAGGCTACCATGATGAGTGGAGCACTCATGGAACAAGCCAGACTTTATTAATTTGTCTGCTAAGTACCTAGGTGTGTTAGTTTTACTGACCTTTTGAACTAGACAGCCAAGCTGGACTTCAAATCTCTGCTTTTGATTTAGCCATCCGGATTGTATAAATTTTGGAGACATATTATATGGTCGTATTTACGAATATCAAAACTGAACCGAATTCATGAATTTGAAACTTTTTGCAGATTTTCGACTCTCTATCTCTTTGAAGCTGAGCTGGCCACAAAACAACACTGCAGTACGCAAGCTGTGACAAAACTAAACTGTCGCACAGTCTAAGATTAATGTCTATGCTCAGAGTTTTCCTGTGAATATAAAGAGTTTTCAAATTGGCATAGGACTTTTGAAGTAGAGTAGAGACATGTTGTGGATATTTGAAATCCGAATCCATGCATAGTCTCAGATTCCTACAATAGTTGGAAACATTTAAAGTGGTTATTATTGAGTCAAATCTTAAAGTCATTGTGATTTATTAACTGCACTCTAGAGCTCCACCTAACATTCGATACTCCCTTGGGGAACACCGAGGGAAACACCTTTATTCAAAGTAATAAAATTAGAATAACTTCCATTAAAAGAAACCCTCTGCCTTCTAAACAAAAGATACGATTTGAAAAGATTGATGCTGTTCCGATCCAAAATATTTTAATTTTTAGTAAAGAATTGGATTAACTATGGTAGGTATCAAATACTTTGCTATAGTCAAGTGAGCTAGACTAGCTAATGACCCGCTGCGTTGCCAGCGTGAAAATAGATTTTGAAATAATACACTTCTTTTCAAATTTTGTTGTTGATTTTCTATTTAAAATTTTTATTTAATCCGATGTCAGAGTCGTTTGCCAGTAAATTCAGTGACGCATTTTAAGCACTCCAGAGCTGCTCTAGAGCGCCCCGGGCTGTTTATAGGCGTTCCAGTGTATCAGAGTTTTGCGCATCCGAACTTTTTTTCGGGAAAAAAATAGCCTATCACTCTCCTCTATAGCCGATTCGATTGACCGGATTAGATCGATCTGGTTCAATTTAAGTGAACCACACTGTGTTCAATTGAGGCTGGATCAGTGCACCCTCATCAACAAAAAAAAAATGATCTAGATCAGAAGTTCACTTAAATTGAACCCAAATCGATCTAATCTGGGACAATCGAATTCAGCTTATATAGAGATACATGGTATTAATTCAAGATCGGTCCAGCCGTTCTCGAATTCAAAAAATAATACAGTTACTTCGGTTGAATGCAAGCCTAAATAAATGAAATATGGCAACGTTGTTTCATGCTGTCAAAAAAAGTTGGGTTATGTTGTTATGTAATGTGAATGAGTTTGTTTACAATTAAATTAATAATTAATTTAAAATTAATTTCTTTTCCCGAGATGCGTAACCTATCCACAAACCTTCCTTGGGATGGCCATAACAACCTACCAAAGTTTCATCGTAATCGGATAAGTGGTGTAGGAGCGCATATCCGGATACGCCTTGAACTTTGATTTTTATATATATAGAAGATAGGTCAAGTGAGGAGATAGGGATGGAATAAGAAACGATAACATTCTCAAGTCAATGCCATCCTCACCCTTAGAAGAAGATTTTAGATTTCTAATAATTGATTCAACAGTAGAAATATCAACCACTTTGAAGCTGAAGACGGTTTTACAGTTTGGATAGATGTGGGATTGATACTTATTCAATAAAGCGGTGTAGGTACCAAAATCATTGTCCAAGTTACAATGTGATGTGAAATAATTATTCAACGTATCAGCATCTCCAATGTCGATGACTGACTCAGTACTTTTTGTTATGTTCAAGAATTTATTCAGCTTCCAAAAGTTCTTGGGAACTGTCCTCAACTTATAATTTAGATAGGCTCTTTTTTCTTTGTTAAGGCAGGATCCAACAAAATTCCTAAGGTTTTTATATTCTGAGAAATCAATGTCAGAATGAGATTTTTTATAATTAACAA